CACCTAAAGGTACCTAACTCTGTTGGTTATATTTAATGCAACTAAAGGTAATTAACTACACCATTAATGCAACTTAAGGTACTTAACTACACCTTTCAGTGTTTGTGGGTAGTTAACTCGTCTGGGTTTTTCATATTTTTTATTGTAACTGTCGTATCTATGGCTTTGGTTATATTCACACATTTTCGTTTGCCAGTTTACTGTTCTTATGTGAATGTTATTTCATCAATTTTTTTAGTGTTTCTTTTCTTTCTTTCCCCTCCACACACTCTTTCTCTCTCTCTCTTTCTCTCTCTCTTTCTCATTTTCTCTCTCTCTCACTCTTTCAGTTTCTCTCTTTCTCTATCTTTTGTTTTTCTGTCTTTCTCTCTTTTATGTTATTAAGGTAGGTACACAAGTTTGGTTTAGAGTGCTGCTATATCATTTTCTGACCTTATTTGGTGGTGTTATTTAAGTTTGTCTGAATGAATAATTATCTGCTGTCTTATTGGTTGTCTGGTTCATTAATTAATTAATTGTTTTATTGGTTAATTAATTAGCGAGTTAATTGATTTATCTACTAATTGTCTGGCTGGTTGATTGGCTAATTAAGTAGACGATTGACTTGTTAATTGTCGTCAACATTACATATTTCAGCTTTCTATTACTTCTACGTGTGGAGTCAAAATATGAACAGGACCCCTATAGAGTAATTTGCAATGATGTCATCGTTGATGTTGTTGTCTTGTTGATGTTCTTCTACTATTTGTTGATGTTAGTTGTTAACGATGATGATAACACTTCGTTATATCGAAGGTCATGTTTATCCGATCTATTCGTTTTTTACGTACGCGAGTCGCTGAGGGAGTCAGCGCACCAAGCTGGTGTTGCTCATCTCAAGTAGTTTTTGATGTCTACCTGATGTTGTTGTTTGTTGTTGTGGTTGCTGTTTGTTGTTGTTGTGGTTGTTGTTTGTTGTTGTGGTTGTTGTGGTTGTTGTGGTTTTTGTGGTTGCTGTTTGTTGTTGTGGTAGTTGTGGTTTCTGTTTGTTGTTGTGGTTGTTGAATAATAAAATATAATGAATAATAAAAATGTGAACGCTCACGCGACAGAAACTACATAGGAGTGGCTGATTACGGGTTCTACTTGAAGTTCAGCGGCTTCAACCACAAATTAAAAGTAGAAATTTTTGTTTCCCTGTTATATCTCAGTGCAAACATTTAAGAGCTATTACAATTCATATTTTAACTAACTCCACCAACAACTATTCGTCGTAAAATAGGAAATTCTCCTCTCTGATTTTCATGAAAAATTTATATGATTTTTATCTAATATCACTTTTACCAGAACCTTTACCAGTTGTACATCGACGGCATACGATCGCTAAAAACTAACTCGGAAACCTTTCGAATGGTGAAGGAGCGAACGAGGAACTTGTACAAAAATCAGATCCTCTGCCCAGAACAACTGTGCAGGTTTGTGCTGTGTATAGTGTCTGTGCAGTGTGTGTGCGTGCCACAAATTGAGAAGAGATCAGTTGTTAGTCTCAGGTGTTGGTTTCAAAGAGTATAATATTAATTTTTTTTTATTAATTTTACATCTTCGGTTGGTGCAAATGAAAATTGAAGAGTTGATTTGGAGCTAATGTTCACGTTGTTAATATGATGCGTTGTAATAAATTGTTTGACAGCTAGATAATTATTTCAAATTATACATATAATCACGTACTGTACCCACACACACACACACACACATACATATATATACCCACACACATTCACTAACACACACGCACACACACACACCGATGATTACTTACCAAAACTAACATAAAGCCAGTTGCAAGCGTCATATCTTTTGAGCAAGTTGAGCACGGTAACCCAGAAACTTGACTGCGTGGACTGCGTGAGTGAGGAGATGCTGGCCTCCTACGTTGAATCCATCTTTGACGGCGTCTTCGTCGAGGCACTCTTCAAAGGAAACGTCACGTCAAAAGTTGACAACTTTTATTAATTTGTTTTTTAGTACATAAAATTTGTTAAAAAACTCAAGTTCTTATTTGTGTAGCGCTTTACACCATCTTTTAATACGCTTCCGGATTGAAATTTTATAAACACAGCATATGCAAGACGCGGTGAACCCGATTCCGGTGATACGCACCATGACAATCTACTGCTACACCATCTCGCCATCTTCTAATAACGTAATTCACGAACAACTATCAATTTCTTTTATACCATTTTTTGATTCCGCCAATTTTTTAGTCAGCAAAAATATCTCAATTATAATTTGCATCACAAGGAAGCGCTGAACTTGAGCGAGTACTTTGTTGACAAGTTGATGTTTCAACCTCTCACTAACTGCTCCGCTGTTGGTTTCATTTTATAAGTTTTCAACCGGCCGAATAATTTAATTTAAATGAAAATTTATCATAAGATGCTTACTGATATTATTTTGTTGGCACGACACTTTTTTAAAGTCATTGGCATTCAACATGGTCGACGCACGCACTGTTTTACACGATGATGACCAGGTTCGAATACCGTCTGTCCAAAACTAAAAAACTATAAAAAATACAAAACTAAAACGGTGCTTGCGCGTGCATACAAATTATTTGTATGGTGTGGATTGTACAGTTTTTGTGGCCAGTTGGCCAATCGAACGCCAGCTGAACGTCAGGTGTACAATGATATGTTAGCTGATTTGCGTATTTCGGAGTTGCATAATAATAAAGAACAAAACACAAACTTAGATATATGTTACTGAGATTCAACGTGGAAGGACCCTTCTTGCGGTACCCAATAAAAACGATGATGACAACAACTGCGTCATAGCTAACTATTATCAGTTGCCGGAGCCAGGATGTCTTAAAGACTTGCTCCTCGCTGAGATGTTCGTGGTCAGTCAATAAAAATAACTCCAATTAATTTTTTACCTCTCCAATCCAATAACAAAACCCTAACCAATTTAAAATTTTAAAATCCTAACCCAAGTCCCTAATGGAGCAGCCATGTTTCGACGAGCTACGAACCAATCAGCAGCTGGGATACAGTGCCACGCCCTCTCTCGTCATCGTTTATGGTGTTGTGGGCTTCTCCATCACCGTATGCTCGCAATCAGATAAGTTTTCGTTAGTTTCACTTTGGGGTTTTCATTTATTTATTATTTTCGTTTAATTCATTTCATTTTGTTACTTCGTGTGTTACGCATGTCGTTACTTGTGTTGTTGCATACCACTTGCTCAGCATGAAACAACTGGACGACTGTATAGAAGACTTCGTGGATAGCTTCTACTACAAAATCGTCGATGGCGCTGATGAAGGGTTTACAGATATGGTATGAATGAATGAACGAACGAACGAAAAAACGAATAAATAATGAATGAGCGTTGTTTTTCAATTTTTAGTTGCACGTTTATTTGGATTGATAATGTTGGTACTACTACTAATAGTAATAAACCTAGAAACACACAGCAAACAACCAACCAACAACGAAACAAACAAACAGCTAACATCAATGATCAACTCACGTAATGGTGTTGACGTCTCCCTCTCGGGGCAGGTCTTGAGGTTCTGGAACGAAATATTAACCAGGGAGTATGAATTCAATAGAAATAATGAAGAGGTCTTTGGGCTTATCTTGAGGGATTGTAACTTTTAAAAACGTTTACAATAAATCCAATATATAAGTATGTCTGCTTACTTGGCAATTGTTATAATAGTTTTCGCTTGCCTTATTCAATAAGTTTCGATGTTGAATTAATAACAAAACAATATTGTGAACAAATGAATTTTAAACGTTCACCATTTAGTTGAATGTACTACACGAGTTGACAGCAGATGATTTGAGAGATTTCTGTCAATCAATCATTCCTCGTGATCGAACTTCTAGAAGGAAACTTTCGATACAGGTACTTACTTATCCACCTTCATACCTACTTACAGGGCAGAATTTGGAACTGTAGAGGTCACAAATTATTTTCAAAATCAAAGAGCAACTTTTTTTTCGTCAAGTTTTGCCAAAAATCGCCTGCGGGACTTTTTTTGCTCCCCCTTTTATTGCAATGTCCTCATACAAAAATCGGTATTTTTAACAAAGTTTTGTTGGCGAAAATGTAAATAAATGGGTGATTTTTGGGGAAGCCCCGAAAGAGTTAGTGCCTACTTGCCTACTCTTAAATCTGGCCCTACCTACATATTCTTACATGACTAACTTACAACTGATGACAGCTACGTATTTGTTTAATATTTTTCTAGCATTATAAAACTTACGATGGTGGCCATGTTTTGGCCACAAAAATCGTTTGAGTATGTTTGATTTTTTTTAAAAATCCTCAACAGGTTATTGGAAAGCGACAACTGCGAACGTAGAAACGCGTATTCACTTGTTGTCAATTAACCAACTAACTAATTAACTAAGTTGTAGTTATAATTATTTAGGACATTTTTCGCATAATAAAGCTAAATCTTCTGTACGTTATTCATTATTTGAAATTTTGAATAAATAAAAATAATATAAAATTAACTCTGTTGCTTTAAAATTATTTAAAATACCCAACATAACTTATAAAGGCTGAAACTAGATTTTTGAGAGTTAACCCATCAAGTAATTAACAATTAAAAAATCAATAAACTTTGGCGGCTGTTCACAATTAGTGCAAATATATTATAAAAATCGGTGTTCCCCTACCTACAAGACATCAAAATTAACCGCATGATATTTACCTAACTCAATTACGACTTTGTCGGTTTATTTAGAAACGCTTACCGAATGGTCAACAGGTCATCTGATGTATGTTTGCAAACGTTTTCTGCTGAATGATTGATGTGTCTTTTTAATGTTCACGTTCTAGTTATTTTTTTCCCGGTTTTATACATAGTTTGCTGAACAGAACGCAGTATTTTTTTTACGTTGTTCATCACAATTAGTTTTTTAATCAGAATTAGGTATGTACAGTTAAGTTAAAAATCCAACAAAATTGAATTATCTACATTGTGAAAATTTAAGATTACTATGAAAAATAAATAGCTTACAAATAAACTCAAAACGATCAGTGATATATTAAAAAAAATACAATCAAATAATGTGCGAAGAAAGAACGAATAATCTATTTTCTTCTTTTTTGATCCACTTGAGCAACTTGTTGACCATCTGGATGGCTTGGTTCTTGGTCGCCAGGGGACTGAAGACGGCGTACATGTCGAAATGATTCGTCACCTATAAGCATTTTATTTATTTCTTTGTTTATTATCGTTTAATTTATCTGAAACCGTGGAGAAAAAATTTTTTGCCAAAAACTACAATCCAGAAAAAGTTTTAAACAATGCCCTTAAAATGTCAGGATATTAAAGGAGTCAAAGGAAATGTTGAGACAACCTACCCAGGCCAGTATATTTTCTTTGGAGCCCACGTGATAATATATTTTCAGCGGCCTGCTAGGAGTGTGCATCAAGCCGTAGATGTACCTGATGTTGTTTTCATATTAATCAATATGAGATGCACTGAGCGGAAAAACCATTTTAAAGATTTATACGTTAATTTAGCTGAAATATAATCATTACATTTTTTTTCAGGACTAAATAGCAAAAATTAACAAGTGAATTTAAAAGTTTAGAAATCTAAATATGAAAAAAATAGTAAAAACCGAAACAGTGAGAACAATCGTTCTCTGTTTTCCTGATCTAAATAAGGTCCAGAGTGTTCAGGTTCAGTGAATTGACCAGTGGTTCTCGCCTTGTAGATGAAGTGCAGCAGACCAGGGATGCCACAGTGAGACACCTGGTAGTACGAACTCTTACTCAGTAATTCACTCAAGCAGTTCAGCGAGTTCAATTTCGTGAGTTTCTGTCAAATGATTAGCACAAATTCAGTTATTTGGAAGTTACAAAGAAGTTATTAATATAATTTTGGAAAACTGATCTTTCATAGTGTATGTATCGTCATATGTATGACAAAAAAATGAAACAAACTTCTTTAATTCGATTTTTGCATTCCGACAGTACGTAGAAGGAATCTTTATTGACTGAGAGTAAGAGGAGACACACCTTGCAGGCATCATCCAGGTAAGAAATGTGACAATGAAGGTAGCCACTGAATTTAATTAGTTTAATAAAATCGCTAAATAATAATAAAACATAGAAACATTGAAATGAATAATCAAAAAAATGGATGTATACTCAAATTAAAATTTTTTTTAACATTGAATAGATGTTTGAATATTTTACATCCACAAAAATGTTTTCCTATAGCAGCATTATTATTCATAGGCTAGTTAAATTACCAAATATTTTCACCCAATAAATTTATTTCATAATAAAACATTATAAATTTAAATAAATGTATGAATTGACAAAATCTGTCAAATATAAATTAAAAAATGTTTGATAAGACATAAAAATCTAACTTAGGATCAAACTTAGGCAGACAGATGGGGGTCCAGGACTCGGCGTGCTTAAATGATTCAGATGATGTTACAAGATTGAAGAGGACGTGCAGATCAATCGGATGGAGAAGGTACTGCTTCAGCCTAATGAGGGCAATGAGCTGATTCCCAGATATCAGCAAGGCAAACACTAAGTCCTACCATGGCAGATACGTCAGTAATGATATTGTTAATGTTATGTTTGTTGAAACAATAAAACGACAACAGTTAATTAAATAAAGATTTATATGTAGGTTGAAATTCAAATCAAAGAAACAGAATAAACCTTGATTTTGGCATTAGTTGAAATGGCTTGAGCAATACTCTCCCTCTCAGAAACATCCAACGGTAGGCACTTGACTGAACATAACAAGTAGCCCGGATCTCTATCCATTGACTCCAACAAACTTTTGTTGACAGATGCAATTGTATGTAGTACAAATAATGAATAATATAAAAAAATTGAATATCTAACTCTCCTACAAAATATCTTAAATTAATAAATAATGAGTATGAGAAATTATTTCTGAATTGCATATGATCACTTAGACAGGCACCTACCTGTCAATGAACTTTTCAGCTCCAGAGAGCAGTCGTCTCAAATCATAGTTAGGTCTTTGCTCGTATACAACCTTCATGCGGCTGTAGGATAATATACTGATGACCTAAAATTTAATTGCACAATTCATTTAAATGAATATTCTGGGAGATTTTAATGAAATATTATGAAAAGTATTGAAATGGTAGACCTGGTAATAGATATAAGACAACTGTTGCATGAGTGAGTGACTGGGCTCTGGATGTTGTCCTGGAAGGGACTGACTGACAATGACCAGCACCATGAACTCCTGACTCATGAACATGATTCGATGTTGACCGGCACATATGCACTTGAGAACATCTTTCTCTGTGTGGTGGTTCGTTGTGTGTTGAAGGAATTGTGACAGTGTTAGGAGGGTACCAAACAAACTGGCCTGTTGGTCTTCATCGCCGTACCTGGTGTCCAAATATGGGTTAAACGTGTTCAAATTATTACTAGACAAATAATTTGGGCAGTTTTAATAAAAAATAGTGTTTGATAAAAAAATATTTCTAAATAATTATTAACTCATTTCTACCGTGTGTATATTGGTTTGCCAGCACAGCTTAAGATAAATACATGCTTCTTGTGCTGCCTCCATTCTGCTTGCTTCCAATCTGGACCAGAATCTAATGATGTCAGCTGTTTTATTTTGTGTGATCAATAAATTTTATTTAATAATATGTTAATGTTAAAAACATTTTGATTATATCATACCTTACATATGTTATTTATGGTTACAGTTTACAACAGTTACATTACATTGTAATGATTACAATAAAGTGTAAACAAATCAAATTAAAACAAATTAAAAAAAACTAACAAGGGAATCTTCACAGATTGCTGAAGCACAAGCACCTTTGTTAATGTTTTCATTTTTTTCATGTGAATCTTCTAAATCATTAATCTTCAGGTTGTCAATTGTTATTTCGTTGTTTTCGTTGAGATTGTTTTTAGACTTTGATGCGTTCAGTTGACCTAACTTGTTAAGAACGTCGTCGGCAGCGGTTGAAGAAGTTGACGGGTTGAGGTAGGTGGCGATGTCGTCGTATGATTCTGCAGGGACAATGATGGACTCCTTCGTGCAACCGGGGGCATTGTGCTCCAATTCGTCAACGATCGACTCACCATCGGAGTTAGGATTGGACCCGTGGGCAAATATGCCGCTGTAACTTGCGTGGATATCTTTAGAAGACATTCCGCAAATATGTCTAAAAAACCCAACAGACTTATCCTAAATAAAAATATAATTAAATTAATTAATTTTAATTTGCTTCAAAAAATCGTCTAAAATTAAAAGGCCTGGTATTGGTTTGTTTTGATAATGGAAATTAACTTTTATACAATTGATATTTAAATGTAGGGTTAATATTTTGAAGTAGAAAGTTCAATTTCGTATGAATCTTGTGATGCATGCATTTGCGGTTTATTATTAGTATTAAACTATAAAAATTAGTATATTGCTTACATTTTTTCTGCATTGTACACGATAGTAATATTGCACGGTGTTTTTTTTAATTTTAAAATCGTTTTACGTATTTCTCTCAACTGTTCACTATATTTCAAAAAAGACGGACGAACATTGAAAAGAGGTGCTGATTGAATACGCGGTGAAGATCAGTTCGAGTCCCATGCTTCAATCTCTGTACGAAAACGTGCAAACTTTGCAAGATATTACCACTACTGCCAAGGTGTTTGCTATGGTTTTTAAAATACAATACCCATGGAATTCACAAAATGATCGCAACCGGCTGTCCACTGCCTGCTTTGAGGCCCAACGACATCCTCACAAACAAATTTAACCTTTTTAACGTATGTTATCAACTCCAAAGTGTTAAAGATCGGGTTTTGTGAAGGTCGATGGTCGCCAATGTTCTGAAAGGATAAGGCACGAGAAAGAAGAAAAAAAGATCAACTTCAACGCCACAATTTCATCACATTCTCCATCCTTTAGTTCTAAACATACATTTCTTTGAACAAATCCAATTTGTACATCAAAATTTAACATGCTACACATGGAAAATGACTTCTCCTACAATTTGTTTACAGACTTTCTCTTTAAGAGTGAAAAAAAACATACTCACTAAACACCACATCATTATAACATATCGACCATTCGCTTCTCATAGTTTAAGAAATTTGTAGTTAAAAAAACAAAAAATTTTACTAAATTTTCAAATCACACAATTCAGAAAATACAATTCTTGTTGTTTGTTTTCAATTTACATTTTTTTAATATTAAACAATTATTTCATAGTTGCCAAGTTCCTCATCATCTGGAAGTTGAATTTTAGCAGGGTCAATGAGGTTTGCATCAATAAGAGGTTTTCCTGCTGCCCTCCTTCTCTCCAACTCCAAATACGCCTCCCTCTGTGTCCATGCAACATCTCTGCAGAATTATTTCAATAAAAAATTTAAATTTAATCAATTTTCAAGCTGTATATCTAGTCGGATATATCTGGTATATCTGATCAGATCCTTTTTTCATATTTAAATAAAAAACATTAACAAAATTTGCAGTTAGACAAACAAAAATTAAACATATTTATTGAAATTCTTAAGCAAATAGTTTCATAAAACAATATGCTATATATAATAAATTAAAGAAAGCATGCCAACTTGTAATCAGGGAAGTATGCAAATAGAAATGAACCAAAGCAAATGCAGATTGTAATCCCTCCAAAGAATATTATATGATGTGAAAATTCATCACTGTCTCTATCTACCAAACTATATCCATAAGATATCCAGTTCTAAAAAAAATATTTAACAAAAATGTTTTTCATAAATTTTGTCTTCTCTGTATCAAGTTTCAGCAAATTACTGCTCTGGCATTTACAAAGCTATCCTATCAATGATTGAGTTGACAAATACCAAGTTTCTACGGGTCTACATCTACAGATACACCACAAACAAAAAAAAAGAAAAAATTATAGTAGAATAATTCTATTCTACCTACTTTATTCAGGACAGTACAGAGTAAAATTATCATTAAACATAAAATTAAATTAAAATTAATTAAGTAAAGATTAACATTAAAATAATAAATCATAAAGTTTAGTAATTTCGCATGTAAATCAAATACAAATTTAATATCAAACTTAAAATTTAAAAAAATTTCCCCAAATTTACCTCTTCTTTGTCTTCCAATTTTTCTAATTTTTCAGCAGGAGCAACGGGTTGGTCGACGTGATGGTGCCCCGCCGCCACAGCATCCTTGTTTTTTTTGGACGTCGAAATGAAACGAGACTGAAAATTTAATCTTTTGTTAAAAAATGAAACAGCAGACGGTTTTACGAGCCGCCTAAAAATCGGATTTGCAGTTGTGCTCACAGACATCCGAACCAAGGACGACGCCATTTCTTTTACCAAATAAACATAGAAAATGATTTAGTTTTTTTGGTTATTGATAATAATTTTGCTTGGTTAATATTTGTTTTGCATTAAAAACATTTATTAAATATACAAACAAATATTTTTAATAGTGTCAAATTATTTATTGTTGATGAAAATAAATTAAAAAAGTTAACTTAATGTTACTCAGCCCTGTTGTTTTGCCTGCGTGTGTACCTAAACATGGCCGACATTGATCAAGAGAAGTTGCTCCCTCGCAACGTCGTCGCCGATGAAATGTCGTCTGTTCAGCTCGATTCAGATTTAAAAAATGTCGCCAAAGATGACCGCCTGGCTCATCGCTCTGCTGAAAATTCCGAAATAGGCGAGGATGAAAATAACAAATGTAATGATAAACTTGATTATGAGGATGGGGATTTTAAAAATGAAAAAAGTGCTTTCCCTTTCCACAAAGTTTGTTAAATTCTTAAATTTTAAAAATAATGTTTGAATTTATTTTTATATTTTTGTGTTAATCCTGCAGTACTTGACGAATCCGTTGATGCTGTTGTTGGATGATGTCTGCATAAAATCAAATAACATTCTTGATTCCATTTTCAAGTATTATAAAATTAAATTTTTTTAAATTAGCGAATTATTTCTAAACTAATTTTTATTAATAAATATATCTAATTATACATATTATAATTTAATTAATTTTATTTTTACTTCTTCAGTGAACTAACCACTGATGATGATGATGATGGAAGACAACAGTCATATTCAAATATTCCATTGATTTTACAGGGATGGTTAGCAAACATGTCATATTTCCATTATATTTTGTTTCTATAATTATAATAATATAATATAATTCATATTTTCTTTCTATCTCTTTTATATTTTGATATTTTGTGCATCTATATTTCATATTTCTATATTTCCTGTACTATATCATTCATATTTTTGGTACTTTCCACTATTTATATTTCTATATTTTTATCATTTATGTTATTTTTCTATTATACATGTTTGCATCATTTTTTATTCATTTTTTCATGTCTCATTCATATTTTCATTGCTTATATTTTTATAATTTAATCATATCTTTATTCTTTGATAACAAAGTTATTTTTAAAATGTGGTTGGTGTTTTACATTTGCGCGCGTGGTCCACTTTTTAATAAAAGTTATTCCTCTTCAGTGGCAGTGGCCTCAAAGAGACAACTGAACACATTGAGAATCTAATCCAGTTTGAAAACTACGACCCTGATCATAATGAAATTTCCAAATTGATGTTTGTATAATATATTATACTTTTATTATATTATATTATAGTTTATTATATTATATTATATGGTATTATATTATATTATATATTATATTATACTTTATTATTTTATTTATTATATTATAACTTCAGTTATAATATTGATTGATTGATTATAACTTTAGTAAATTGATGTTTGTATAATTAATTTATATTGTATTATATTACTTTTTTAAAATTTTATGTTCACTTGCATAACTTGAATGGAATGGTATGGATAACTGAAATTTTGTTGTTTTTTTTCCTGAGTATTTTTATTATTAATTAACATGTGAATAATCTTAAATTAATGTATGTGTGTTCCTCTTATTAAAAAATATAGATTATGTTAAATGATATTTCTTTTTTTATTTACTGAATTTCAATCACGTTGAACATCCCTAAATTCATTCCTAATCATTTCCTCCTCCTCCGATTCAGACCGGCAAACTTGCATGAAATAGACAACCTGGCAGGCCTGAGCATAGTGAGTCACAGTCTGGGGGCCTATGTGTCGGTACTGGAGGCCGCCCACTTGAAATATCTTGCCACAAAGATAGTCACTGATATTTCACTCTGGATCTCAAGGATGTTTAGGTCGGAAATTTTTTAAATTATTTTTTAAACAATTTACTTTCTGGTTTCCATTTTATTTTTTTAAAGTTTTTTTTTGTGTTAAAACCATGTTGTTAGACTTTCAGTTACAAAAATTTTTTTTCGTGTTGAGGTTGCCGTAAAATTTTTACTATTATTGTTTGGGTATAAATTAGCATGTTTTTTTTGTTATTTTTCTCCCACACACATCATTGGAATTTTCCAATGTTTGTACAGTTGTGTTTGCAAATTGGAAAAAACTTCAAAAACTTATATTTGTGATGCAAATGATTCATTCAGAGAATTGCTCATGTCTATGAATTTTTCATCATGATTAATTCAGGCAAATTGTGGTTTAAAGAAGTACCTATGCACATGAGTTTGTTCTCTTGTGCTTATTTCAATTAATTAGTTGTACCTGTGCTATATAGGTGAACACATGTGAACAGTGAACTGAGTGCACACACACATCATTGCAGCCATACAAGATTTTAAAAAATTTAAAGTTTTCATTAGGAAAGACTTGAAGCCTTAAGACATGTATGACAAACCTCAACTAAAATGAAATGTTTTCAACTGAAACTACACACACACACACACACACACACACACACACACACACACACACACACACACACACACACACATAAACACACTTGCTACACACACGCACGCACACTCCACATACTCTCACACGCGCCACACACACTTGCACGCCTCACACACACACACACGCGCACACAGGTATCCTGATTCGGCAGCACACTTTCACGAGGATGAGAAGGAAGGAATTCTGAAAATCTGTCAGCTGGCTATGCACAAAAAGTTTCCAAAATATTCAACTGATGGCTTTGTGGCCCTCTACAACAAGCCACCGGTCATCTACATCAGCTCATCTGCCAAGCATAACATGGCCCAACATATATGCCATCAGGTCGGTTCTCTTGTTTACATCTATTATTATGTTATTACAAGTATGTAGTTTTTGAATGCTTGTTGTTTTATAATTCATTCATCTATTTTTTTTGTTGACACAACTTAAAAAGAGAAAAAGCAGTGATGGATAAGAAAAGTTGTACAGTTGCAAAGATATAAAATGTTGCCAAGTCGTAAAAAATAATTTGTAAAAAAATATGATTACAAGTTGATTGGTTGTGTACAACAGAGAAGGCGTGGTTATTAAGAATTAAATATCACCAACAAAGACCATAGCAATAGTTTTTATTATTATTATTATTATTATTATTACACGTAAAGATGCACTATAATTTTTTTCTGTAGTTTTTAATGTATATTTTATTTATTATATGAAGCCTCTCATATTTGTCTAATTAATACTCACACTTTTTTACATTTCATATCAAATTGGTATTTTATACTTTATAATAATGTAAAATATTTTAATTTAACAATAAATAAATAAATTATTTAATTTATTGGTCAGTTAGTTAATTAATTAGTTAATTAATTCCCAATTATTAATTATTATATTTCTGACTGGCCCCCACCACCCACACACAGCTCGGTCTGCCTCTATCCAGCATCTGCACAGTGCCTTGTACCCTTGGAAAGATGGACATTCCTGCCCTCAAGAAGCTGGTTGACGACGACGTTACTCGTATGAAGACACCTGTCATTGTCATTGCCTTTGTCGGTCAGTCTCTTTTGTTGTTCTCTTTTTCTGTCTCTTTCTTTCTCTCTCTCTCTCTCCTCTCTCTCTCTCTCTTTCTCTCCTCTCTCTCTCTTCTTTATATTTAATTTCATTCAACAAAATGAATCAAATAGACATGCTAACAAATGATTGGAAAATTAAGTTATACAAATACTGATTTTGTCTGTACTGATGATGACGACGACGACGATGATTGATGGTCATAATGGTTAGGATGATGATGATGACGATGGGGGTGGTGGTGAGAATGATCATAGTGATGATGACCTTTTAATTTTTTCACTGACCCATAAAATGATGATGTAGGTACTCCGTTATTGGGTCGGTGCGACGACCTGAATGAACTTCGTGAAATATGTCGGCAGTATGATTTGTGGCTACACCTTGAAGGGTCCGTTCAACTGTTTCATTCATTCGTTCATTCATTCATTTTTTCATTTATTTACTAGTTCGTTGGTTCATTCATTTGTTCATTTGTTTGTTCCTCCAACCAATTTACAATAAACGATTTATTCACCGGTTCATTTTTGTAATTTTTATATTCAACTGGAATTTTTATTAACTCTCTCATTGTATTTAATTCCGTCAGGTACTGAATACTGATTGATATTTGTGTACGTAACGTATATCGTGATCTACTCTATATTTTTTTTGGTGTATGTCTTTGTGTACATTTACTGAGCGCACACATTTGATATGTACATACGGACAGGCTGGTTACATAGCAGTATATAATGTTTTATAGCCATTATTTTTCAAATTTTTTCCAATCATTGTATATATAACTAGCATGTATAATGGTTTTGCTCTGAAGATAATGCTCTCTTAATGTGTGTAATTGTAAGTTTAAATAGTTTTACATTCAAGATTGTGCATAGAAACACACACAGATTATATACACACGTACAAACACACACACACACACACAAATACACACATAATACACACATACACACAAAGATATCAGGATATATACTAATACATAATACACATATATACACACAGTTATTTCACTCAAACATTTTGTTACTTACATTGATTCATTCTGCAGATGGTTTATGATCTGGTTTCAATTCTCTTATGATATCTAAGACGTGGTGTTATAGATAACATTATTTATTGATGTATTTATTACTTCTGTGAACTTTTTTTACCTGTTTTGTCCCTTTCAAAGACTATCTTATCCATCATTTACATTTTCATTTAATTTACTGTAATTGTGTAATAGTTAAACAACGACAGCGACAACAAATAATATTGAAAATATTATGAACAATCGCGATAAAAATAATTAAAATTTGTAAAATTAAGTGAGATTTGTAAAATTATTTGATGTGATTTTTTTCTTACCATTCACAATTGCATGGTAGTGAATCAATCAATAGCTGATTAACATAAGTAAGGGAATAAGTTGTTGGGAAATTTTGTTTTTGCATATAAATTAGATTGGTTTACTATTTGACTATTAGATACACACGTACAAACACACACACACACACACACACACACACATCTGGAATCACACGTACAAACACACACACACACACATGTTACACATTTTGTTTTATCCATTGACCAACCAATATCCACAAGTTATTGTTTTGGTTGCCCATTCAATCGACCAATATTTTTAAACTATTCATTCCATTGGCTGAACAATCGACCAATAGCTTTGGTTTATTAATTTGATTGATTTAACAATCAACCAATATTTGTGGTTTATTAATTTAATTGGTCAATCAATCAATCAATCAACCAACTAATCAATCAATCAGTTGTGGTTTATCACTGTTGACCCTGCCCACTGTACCTGGCCACCTACAGTCAGCCTCCATATGCAACAGCATGACCCTTAACATGGCTGCCTGGCTGGCCCTACCTGCCCTACCATTTGTGGTCAGTGGCGGTGGGGATATTTTGTGGTGATGATGAAATGGTTGTTAAGTAAAATTATGACATCTTGCTGGGTGTAGCATACTGAATGTTATTTATTGATTGATTGGGTCTCTGTACCACTGGTTCCTTCCATTTTGTTTCACTGCAGACTCTCTTCAGGTCACCAGACATTGTCCTTTCGAGATTAGTTGCTCTGAGTACATTCAACGTGAGGTTTAAATTGAACTGCACACCTCTTTGGCTCTCCATACTCAACTTAGGATACTATAAAACATTGGCCCGATTTCAATTTCACTACAAAGTGGTTAGTAACTTAATAGTAATGATAATAATTATATAGTAATAGTAATAGTTGTAGTAATAGCGGCAGCTCATTGTTATTTGTTATTAGTGAAATTTATAATGCTAAAGAGCACTTCATTTTGCCATAGGAGTGATTCTCAAGTTAATATATTATTGTGTATGGTTATAAGGGTATGTGTGTGTGTGTGTGTGTGTGTGTGTGTGTGTGTGTGTGTGTGTGTGTGTGTGTGTGTGTGTGTGTGTTGAGACACTCAAGGAGTACTGACGTTGTATCTGATGTCGTTATCTGGTATCTTATACTGTATCTGGTATCTTATGTTGTATCTGGTATCTGACCTTCTATCTGGTATCTGACGTCGTATCTGTTATCTGACGTTGTATCTGGTATCTGATGTATTGCTTGGGATAGCTATTTCTAATGTGTTTACTTATTTTTTAATGAGTCAGGGTTTTTTTGTTTTGATGCTTAGTCATTACGCTTTTAACAAGAGTATATTATTACGTTAAACAACAAAGGCGAAGACGAATCGTCCCTGTGCTTTCTCAAAACTAAGACAATTTTAAAACAATAAATTAAATAAACCTATGAGTCTATGAGTATATTTAGTGATTATTTCAGACAGCCACTAATATGTTTGGGGTGATAATATAATGCTTATCAATTATTATGTGGTATTGTTTAGTTTATTGTTTACACATACCGTACGCACACACACACACGCACTGGCATACGCACACATACGTACACACACACACACTTGGCAGGCTACAATGATATACAACAGATTGAAATCAATCGAAATTGATAATGAGCTTGTTAGTTGATTTGGTTATTTTATTATTTATTTTTTAAATTAGTATTAGTTAAATGATTGAACGATTGATCGATTGGTTTGTTGTTTGATTTGATTAATTAACTAGTTGTTGGTGATAATCACGCACACAACACACACACGCACAACACACACTCGCACAACACACGCATATATTTATGATCTTAACAATGCACAGGCTGTGTTTGATTTGGAGAGCCCATCTGTTGTGTTCAAGTACCAGATAAAAAGAGGTGTTTTTTCTTTCATGTGTATAAAAATTTGTATGTTTGTATGTTTATTTATTTCTGTGTGTTTGTTTGTTTGTATGTATGCATGTTTGTTTGTATGTTTCATGTGTTTCATTCGGTTTTTATGTATGTATGTTTGTATGTTTCGTTTGTTCTTAGTTTGTTGCTCTATGTCATTGTTTGCTGCTTTAGATTCTGTGCAATTAATAACTGTTATATTAATCATAGGAAGGCTGTTGTTAAAATTCAAAGTTTGGTGTATATATAATTTTTGTTACTAAATTATTGAGGGTTGAGTAATTAAGTCAGGTAACTTAATTTGACGGGGGCATAATTTTTAACGTTGTTTTTCTTTTTCATGTTCATTCACTAATCTTAAAAGTTGTTCTAATTGAATGTGCTTAGGGAATCAGGAATCTCTCGAATCAAACCTCAGCAAAGGAGCTGATAGTGACGCACAATCACCATCACCGAAACTCGATTCATCTGAAGCATCGCCTTCACCATTATCATCATCTTCATCGTCATCTTCATCATCATCGCCATTCGGACCGAAGGATTCCTACTGTGATACTCTCAACATCTGGGCTAGTAGTTGTACTCCAGTTGGCTGGAGTGTCTGGGATGATGTTTCACTTTTTTTATTATTAATTTTTTGTAGTGTTAAAGCTGGAAGTGTAAGTTAAAATGTATCTTTCTATTTTTTTTATTCAAGCACATGGTTCTTTATTAATTTAATTTTTTTTTGTGTTACGTCATTTTAAAATTTCGAAGCGATTATTCACGCAGTTATAAGATAAGATACAAATTTGATAACAAACCACAACATAACTGATCTACATTGTCATCGTTTCTTATGACATTAGCTGGCGGATATGTTGAAGCACGCTGCTCCAGACATTCACATCTCTGTAGTTGACGTCGACGATGTCGGCATGTGCATGCGGTATGCTCCACTGGAAAGTAGCTATGGTGAGTCTCTTCATCTGCGTGTGTGTGTGTGTGTGTGTGTGTGTCTGTGTGTGTGGTGTGTGTGTTTCGTACCAGCTGTAGATATGTTCTGTAGGAATAGAATTTTGGCACCATTGTATACAGCGTTGTTAATAGAAATCAATGTGTTTTCAATGTTGTGTAATCCATCTTGTGCACTTTTCACCTCCTTGCTATCATGTATTAATTTATAAGATCTTCCACATTTTTATGTTTAATCAACTCAAAATGTTTTATGCAGACGCGATAATAATATATAATATTATAAAATATTTAATTAATGTCCACCCACCAGTGAATGATGTTTAATTTGAAACCCCGCCCACCAGTGAATAATGTTTAATTAGAAACCCGCCCACCAGTGAATAATGTTTATTATAATTAGAAACCCCACCCACTCTTCAGTGAACAGTTGGACGTTGTTGAATGTAACTCAGGAGGATGTGGATAATTTCCTTGACTGCCTCGAGCAGAACATTAATGTCATCGATGCCACAGTGGCCATGAAGAAAGAATTCAATGACATCATCCAGGAGCAAGACAACATACGATTGGTCGAACTGCAGACATGGGCGGGACTTGGAGCTGTCCAGTAAGTACTACTGTCACTAGATTATTACATTTCACATTACGTATTACATTGTAAATTGTTACTAGTATTACTTTTGTTACTGTCATCTTAAGACTGTGGAGTAATCAAACCAACTAGATAGGGTGAACTTCATAATGCAACAAACAGATATGTTCCAGACAATTTGGTCAAATTTGCGGACGAGTTGTCCGAGGAGGCCAAAAATGAGGTCAACTCACTTAATCAGCAAATTGTTCAGCAACTCAAATCATCCGATTCTGCATTCTCATTAGGTAGGTTGATCAGTTTTTTGGTTGAGTGGACGATTAGTAGTTTGATTGATAGGTAACTTGACCAACCATCCAACCCCAGAAACATTTGCATAATTACTATTTTAATAACAGGATTAACAGAGAACGAAGTGTATTGCATCCGATTCGGCCTGGTCACCAGGGACACAGATCTCGAGGAACTCATCGGCGTCGTCATTGAGACTGGCAAGAAGGTCGAAGAATCATCCAAGGTGAATGCGTGTTTGTATTGTTGGTCTCTGTGCTCTGCTATCATTATTTATAGTCTTACTAATTTTAATCACTCATTTAACTTGACATCAGCGTTATACTTTTTGCCATTATTATTGCCATCATCGACGACGTCCATTACCTTTATTGTTTTTTCTTCCCAAGTACCTCGAAACGATGGCCGATGTGGTGAAGAAGGGTATCGAGAAAGCTGCAGAGGACCTCGAGAAAGAGAACAGAGAAAAGTTGTTGCAGGAGGTCTGTGATCTCATTATTACATCTCCATGGTTATTTAACATCCTCACCACAAACATCACCATCGTCATCTTGAGTATCAAAATTACTGATTATCAAAATTACTTGACCAACATCGTCACATGACCAACCACACTACCACACCACGTGACCAACAAAATTACGTGATCAACATTATCACTTGAACAACATCATCTCACGACCAACAACACCACGTGATCAACAGGGCCTCTTGAGACAAGTACCCCTTGTTAGTTCCCTAATAAATTGGTGGTCGCCAGCACCCAAGGACGTTATCAAGGGCAGAACTTTTGATCTCACATCTGGTCTGTTTGCCCGTTTGATTTGTTTAGTAGTAGTAGTAGAAATAGTAGTAGTAGTAGTAGTAGTAGTAGTAGTAGTAGTAGTAGTAGTAGTAGTAATAGTAGTAGCAGTTGTAGTAGTAGTAGTAAAAGTTGTAGTAGTAGTAGTAGTAGTTGCAGTGATAGTAGTAGTTGCAGCGATAATATAAGCAGTAGTGTTTAATCTTAACGTTTTTTAAATCAGGGAAAATTGTCAGCACCGAGGAGATATACAAGTCAGGGATTCAAATATTAGAGCACCCCGTCCCTAATTCCAACCAGCCAATCAGAGATCATCCCTCCAAATTCAGCCTGAAGCGTAAACCAAAGCCTGTCCATCATACTACTGAGGCCGCCGTATCACAAAATGTCAACAACAACAATAATAATAATAACAACATAAACAACAACAACAACAACAACATGGACAATAATATTAATAATAATAATAGTATTGTTGACAAAAATATTGTTAAAACCAGTCTTGATGGCAACAACAATATAGAGGTGAATAATTTGAATGGCCCATCCACTGGGGGTATTCCTAACTCCAAAGAAGCATTAAATAGTAATTAGGAGCTATTTATTTGGATATAATAATTCAATTGAATTTATTTTTAAATTAGTTAATTAATTAATTGATGACAAAACTTATTAATTAACTATGATAATTAGTATAAAAACTCTATCTTCTATTTGTTGAAAATTATTTGGTTTGTTGGAAATTGTCTTTCCGATGTATTTTATTTGCTGTTAAATTTGTATGTCAGTGAGTGAGTAAGCTAGTGTTGTTAGTTTGTTATCTTATATTATTGTTGGTCAGAAAATTTAAAATTGAATAATTTATCAATTAATTTATTTAATTAGATAATTGATCAATTAATTAAATTAGTTAGTTAATTAAATTAATGAGTTTAGTTTTAAAAACGTACGGTAATAACGTTACAATAAATGAATGAAGTAGCATTACATTACATATCTTGTATTTTAATTTTCATTGTATTTTTTGTAGACATAAGAGATATGTAATATATAGTAAAGATAAAGATAAAGATATATATATATATATATATATATATATATATATATGTATGATATATATATATATATAAAATATATATATATATATTTATATAATATATAAATCACTATGTAAGTATATATGTACTTAACAATAAATTGCATGCATATATAAACTTTATGTGGATATAGAAAATAATGTGTTAGGAAATTGGTATGGTATTTGTGTATATGTATCTATGTATCAGCTTACGTTTGCAAAAGTCTGTCTGCTTGTCTTGAGAGTTGTTCAACACGCTAATTCTGGTAATAATAGCAAATTATCTCAGTGTTTTTTATTATTTTTATTATTTCAAGATGCTGCTAAAACATCAACTATGTTTTATTTTCTGTTATTGTTATTTTTTCCACTATTAATTTTTATACATGTACTAAGGGTTGCATATAATACGCTATATATATATATATTTATATGTATATATGTATATATATATGTATATATATATATACATCCGTATCTATATATTTGTATTAATTTGTACACTTAGACCGATTATTAATTTGTAGACGTACTTGAAGCTACTAACAAGTAGAGTAAAAACTCATTTATCTGAATTGATTTATTTTTTCGTATAGTTAATTGCTGATTGGTTGATGGATGGATTGATTGATTACTGGATTGATTGATTGGCTGGTTTATTGATTGATTGGCTGGTTTATTGATTGATTGGCTGGTTTATTGATTGATTGGCTGGTTGATTGATTTAATTTAATTTTTCATAATGGATTGGTTGTCTGGAGATGAATTAATTGCTGCATTTAAGATAGAAGGGTAGTTTGTCGTTTGGCTTGCTTAGTTCTGTGTTTGGTATTTTAATTGATTGATCGATTAATTGACTGATTAATTGATTGATTGATTAGTTGACACAGATTGATTGATTGATCGATTGATCGATTGATTGATTTTTTGTTTGACATTACCTGACTCTAAATGAATATCAAGTTAAATATTGCTGAATTTTTTTTTAGTTATATTTTTCTATTGAATTCTTATTTATTTGAAATACGTATTTCTAAATATTGAAATTATTTATAATTTATACATTATTTATAAATTCGTTAATTGAAGAAACAATTGTAAATCGTTCATCTTGGCGTGGTTTCATTGAAGCATGGAGCCCGGACTTGCCTCTTTTTGTAAAGAAATTTTTCATATCATCATTCCATACACACATGCACCATATGCTCGCATCTTTCATTCCACTCTTTACTGAATCATCATTCTTACTTATTTACCTACTCATTTACTCTTTTGTTTTGTTATGGCAATATCGTATGGGTTGTACATTTTATGTTCTGAAAATTTGTAAGTGTAAGCAAGTGTAAGTGCACACCAATTTGCTTGGATGATTCTTGGCTTATCCTTTTTACTGTGGTAACGATAATTTTTTTTATCTCTGGGGTTTTCAGAGAAGTTAAAAAATCATATTTTCAATTGGTAAATTTCATTTTTGAATGTTCGACATCATTTTTCATTTAGTTCTTTGTTACTGTGAATTTGTTGCACCATGTTGCACTAGATTTGGCTTAATAGTGCGCCCGTATTTCCTTTCAGGATTTGAAAAATTTGAAAACGTAAAAGGAGAGATGAATATTTATGTAAGGTTGCACGCTTTGTTTGAACGTTATATGACAGCAATTATTTCCTTATTTGTATTTATTTATTCGTTAAAATGACTCACATCTATGCATGAACTTTCTTGTTTTTATTTTTTAACACGGGTGTCTCATTACTTTCATTGTTGGTCATGAATTTTTCTACTTCAATGTAGTGGTTGTTACATTTTGATTGAATAAATATTTAATTCCATTCAGTTGTTACCATAGATAATAATTAAGATGTACGGTTTTGTATTGCGACTGAATTAAAATTTGTTATCCGCCATTGGGTTGCACACTTGAATGTACCTCAAAAAGGCGCATCTGACAGGTTTTTGTTTAAGGTTCAATGACATGAAATGTCAATTCAAAATCGTTCGTGTGTGTCGATTATGATTATTTAGTCTCTAACGTAATTAAGAGAGCTGAAATATTAAACGTATTTCATGATGTTTGCATTATTCAATTATACGAAATGTTTATTTATCGTAATCTTAAAAAAATTATTAAGAAGCGGGTAATCTGAAATTGTAATGGTAAATTTGTTTAAGCACATAATTGTACATGAGAGTTCTAGCAGATCGTCGTCAAAAATTATTAAAAAATGAAGTCAGCATCGCAATCTTACCGTCACTTGTTCTTCATTTCTAAGAGATTATTCCTATCTTTCAATGATATGACCTTGTTTTCGACTTTGTGTATCTTGTCGATGACCTCTTCTTGCAATAAGTTAAATGCCATTGAAAGCACAGCCATGCCGAGAACCATGTACAGTGCCGTCCCCATCAGCTTGAATCTGGCATAAACGTCGTCCATGTTGTCCGAAGATGGGACAATGTCGCCGAAACCGATTGTAGATAACGTTATGAAACTAAAATAAGCGGCACCCATCCAGTCCAAATCGCTCATCCAGACAGAAAATAATATCGCTCCGAACAGAACGTAAGTGACGATGAGAAACAACGTCACCACCACTGGAACGCTTATTTTGTCCAATTCTTCATCATCCTCGTCCTCTATTAAAATTTCATCAAAATTTTCCTCATTTTTCGGTGCAGTTTTCTTGGCGTCATTTAAATTGGAATATGACGTAGGGAGTGTCGATCGTTTGTACCACCTGACCAGGCTACAGCAGCACACATTCAAGTACGCGTATCGAAATATGTTGGCCATTATTTCTCCAAAGTTAGCCAGAGTTAGAAGCATGAGCGGTATCCCGAGTAAGGCGTAAGCCAAGCAGACCAATCGTCCAAATTTAGTTTTCGGGGCTATGTTACCGTAGCCTGGAAATATGAAAAAGGCTGCTTTTTATTTGGTTTAATTTTGCAAATTTTAAGTTTTTCAAATGAATGCTAGAAATGTAAAAAAAAATGAAATGTTGAATGAAAGCAGAAACAGACCGACTGTTGTGAAAACGGTTGTAGAGAAGAGTACAGCATTTACCAAAGACCATTGTGAAGATGCCCCGTTCTCCTTGCCTAACAAGGAACAGTTTTTTCCATCAAAACTAGTTTCGTATATCTGTTTGTTTAATTGAAATAACATATCTTGAAAGTTTTGAATGGTATCCTTCTCTTCACTTGGTTTATAGTTAGACATTGTATTCCATATCGACTGAATCGTTTCGTTCTCAAATGTCAGGTAGCTTTCTGAATTCTCCGTACAATCACTTAACTCATTTTCAGATTCCAGATGACTGAATAGGAAGCCACCACCTAAGGCATACAGGCTGACCATCGAGACTAAGCCGACTCGCGGACAGATGAATTTCAAAGCGGCCTTCGTTCCACTTCTCACGTTATGCTCCATGCTTTATCCTTCTTCGAAACTCTGTCAAAGACAAATGAATGAAAATTGAAATGAGAACGAGATTGCGAGGAGGAATAAGTAGAGTGGGGTTGCTTAGTGATGTCTGCATTGATTCGGTTTTATGTACAAGAAGCCGATCGATGCAGTAGTATAAGTGCGCAGTTCTGTTGTCAACGTCTTATAGATCAATGTTGATCAATGAATGACGCTTCATGTCACCTCTGCAGAACTCATCATAGCTTTTACGTGAATCTATGTTTCCATGCTTAGCCCCGACGTCACGACATTCTCCATACAAACAAAAGCATGTTTTTTATTATTATTCAAGAATTGGTTATACGCAAGTTAATTTTTAAAATGATGTTGAGCGTTTGTTTTTAAATGCTTCAATTTGATTTTAAATGTAAATATGGTAAATAGACTTTAATTAAAATTGTTACAAAAAATATAAATAAATTTACGATATATAATGAAAAATAACAATTAAAGATGCTACTTAAATTATTAACATTAAACGCTCGGTCAGAAACGCACATGCGCAGGATTCTCGTAGCTTAATATTCACTAGACCACCAACGCCACTACCACTGCCACTTTTTTTAAGCTACCACACCACAAGGAGAATGACGTGGATGATGCCCACCACATTGGCCTGCATACAAACCCTCCTCATGCACCTTTCCAACCTGCCTCCAGGTGTCCGCTGCCACAATATAAGACTCAAAAACATGGGTAGAGGAGAGGGTGTGGCAGAGTACGGGTACCTTGAAGTCCAGAAAAATGCCAAAAGTTGGCTGAAGGTTTGCGCCGATAACTGGAAAGAAAAGGACGAGGTGGAAGTTTGCAATTGGCTCGAGATGTCTGCAGGAGTCAATTTCCACGACAAGTCAGAGTATTTTTTATTATTTTTACTTATAGAATTTAGAAAATAATGAACACATAAAAAATTAATAAAAGAATCAAATGATTGATTGAAGAAACAATTATCTCTTGTAGATTTAAACTGGAAACCACCAGTCCCGTGATTGGTGTAGACAGGGATGATCTCTTCTCGAACGACTCATACAGAAAACTTCACGAGGATGTTTGCAAGTCCAACTCATTGGTCATGGTCTTCTGCAACGATACCAAATTTGACAAACCCATCTTAATCGAGATTCAGAAATTCGGTGCCAACATCACACTCTACCCTTCAGCAGAGATACCGGCATACGACCTCACCATCTTCATCAAACCTTTGTCCGCCAATTCATACACATATCAAACTTCCGTACAGACCGATCTAGCGCTAGACCAGTACAAGTTAATGTTTGGACCAGCAGGCAATCGCTGCTTCAATTACCACAAGGTCATTGTCCCAGAAGTGAAAATTTTTGATTCTTTCACGGAATTTTCGTTGACCACTCGCTTACTTAACTGCAAAGGGATTATCGTAAAATTTTCTACGCCACGTTTACGATCAAAGGTATTGGAAAGATTTAAATACTATTTAAAAATTTTCAATTATTTAATCACTTCACTAAGCGTTATAAATTCATCAAATAAACTTAAAAGTTTTTATAAAAAAGTTTATATAAAAAAATATAAAAAGTTTATAAAACTTAAAAGAAACTCAAACAAACAAACAAACAAAAAACTGGCAGACGAAAGTAGATAGCGAGTGGACGAACCTCAAATTGCTGATGCAACCGCTGAGCGCAGCATTCGTCATGGATCGTGAGCACGTGCCGCTCAGCTTTTTCAACACTTCCACCGGCGTCCTCGTCTTCACCATCATCGTCTTCATCGTCGTCGCCCTCCTTGTCAGCCTGCTCTTTGATTGGCGGCCAGTCGCTTCCACAATTAGGTCAAAGTTCAGGAGCAACTACAATGAGGCCGGCCTCCCGAGTCAGAAGTTCAACTCCATTCGGATATCCAAGAAGAAGATGAGCAGGTTAATTAGGATGATGATGACAAAGATAATGATGACAACGATGATGATGATGACTATGATGATGATGACTATGATGATGAGGAGGGGGAGGAGGAGGAGGAAGATGATGATGATGATGACAACTTTGATGATGACAACGATGATGATGATCGTAGAAAATGATGATGACGACAAAACAATGAAACAAAACAATTAAAGATTTTGATTATATTGATGGCAATAAAGATGAAGATGATTTTGAATGAAGTAATTAATACGATGTCGTAAGTCAAATGATTGTAAAACAGGGGTGGGCAAACTACGACCCGAGGCCTTGTTCAAAAAAAGGTTGTCTCAGTCAGGCATTATGACCAAAAAAAGAGCAACAAATCTTAAAAAAGTCTCCCCCGGGTCAAAAAAATTAGCAATTTAAGTAATACGCGGCCCTTCAAAGTTAAAATAGTTCTCAATGCGGCCCTCAGAGCAAAAAATCTGCCCACCCCTGCCGTAAAATGATGTCGACTATGGCTATGATAATGAGAATAAATTAATCGCGTTTTATGTGCACTTTATTTCCAGTCATTTTGCGAACCATAGTAGTAGTTCATAATAACATGATAAAGACACAGCAATGTCCGTGACGGAGGAAGTGACGAAGATGACGAAGAAGAGGAAAAGGATTAGAAGAGGAAAAGGAAAAAAAAGAAGAAGAGGAAAACGAAGAAGAGGAAGAAAATAATGGCGACCGCAGCTATCAATCTACGTTCAATATTTTATTTTATTTTTAAATGATTATGATGAAGATAATGATACAAATAAACGATGATGACAATGACGATGGTGGTGATGGTGACGATGACGATGATGACAAAGACAGTTTCGCAATTAGAAAAATTATTTATGCAAAAAATTTGAAAAAAAAATTTTTTTACAATGAATTAAAAAATATACGATTTTCTTGAATTATATTATTCAATGTATAACGCTTGATTTCAATTTTGCAAAACAATTTTTTTTAAATCTTTATAAAGTAGGTAGAAAGGCGAAGAGCAAAACAAAAAAATAACAATATCTAACGCCGATATAAAGTTAAAAAACCCCAAAACAACAATCAACTGCACATTGCTACATGGCTCAAATACACGTCATTACAATTTATAGTTGATGAAAATGACCTCACGAGCTAAAACCAGTTGACCTAATGACCCGCTGACCCATTTAAATCTAATTTAAAAATCTAAATCACTCGTTGATGAAATGTGTATCAATGCCTTTTACTCTACCTGCCAGCCAGAATATGTGCGGATGAATGAAGGAGTGAGTGAGCGATTGAGTTAATTGATGGATAAGTGAATGAATGAGCGGAGGAATGAATGAATGAATGAAAAAATGAATGAATGAATAAACGAAAGCGTTTGTTGCAACGTTTGTCTGTGTGTGTCTTTTATGGTTTGTATATGTGTGTATGTCTTTATCATTGTTTGTGTGTATGTGTGTATGTTTGAGTTCACACATTTATATATAATAGACTGTGTGTGTGTGTGTGTGTGTGTGTGTGTGTGTGTGTTGAGGTTATAAAGGTTTTATATACATATATGTAATACTTTGAATTCATTTGTTTGTTTGTGTGGTGTGTGTGTTTTGGAAAATGGTTATTCAAACAACTTTAGTTTTTCGAATGAAATATAAAATATAAAAACACATAAATGTTGTTTGTTAATTTTTGAGACGCGTGTTTATTTATTTAAAGCAATCCACGTTCCAAACACTTTCCGCCCCCTTCTTTCTGCCATTGTTTGAGTTTCACTGACAAGAACTTCCTGGAAAATATTCTTTCGTTAGCAGAAAACATTAAAATTTCATATATAAAAACAAAGTAAATTAGAAAACAACAGAAATGATGTGGTTGAATGATTGAACGATTTAATCAATGGCTGACTGACTAAATGAATAAACAAACGAATAAACGAACGAACGAATGAATGAATAAATATAAACGTACGTGTGCTTGCATGTCAGTCAGTGCGTGTGCGTGTGTTGATACGCTTATTGGTCTATATGAAAAAGCGAGAGAATTAATGAAATAATTTTAAAAAATTTGTCGCACGCGGCAAATCGCATGAGCGAGGAATTAGTTGACAAGCAAAGGTGCGAATGACGAGAAGTGATGATCGGCTGCATGGTATGGAAGTGAGAAACACTGAGGCAGACAGGTACGTGCGCGTGCCTTGCCGTGTATCACGCCTACATTCAAGCTTTGGAAAATTAGGTTACAGTATATACGTGTTTGGAACCTTGTGGGTAAAACAGATTTCGTTAGTTTGCGGATAAAGTTTGTGCGGAAACAGTTTTATATACGTCTCACATGGTCACTATCTTCAAATTTAATACCCGAAACAAAGACATTAATTAAAAAATGGTTGGTCTATGAAACTCTGAAGCAGATTAAAAATGCTACCGATGTAGGCAGTTGCGCGTCTGAGTGGATGCGTTTCAATATGGACTCGAGACAGAACTCCAATTTGTATTTCATTTCAAATAACGTTTCGAATACCGACATAATTGGTTTATTTATAATACACAAAATGTTCGCAAGCATATCCACACACACATACACTCTAACCTCTAACCCGGTACTATAAATTCACTCTCACACAAGTTTATAAGTTTATATACATATATATATTTTATATTATATATTATTATACCATAATTATTATATAATATTATAGTTGTTATATAATATTATATTATAATATATAAACAAATATATATATATATGTACATATAGACAATATAGACCCATTCAAATATTACTATTGCGGTATATATAAAGAGAAAACTGATTGAAATGAAACTGACAAACTAAGTTGCAAATATCAGTGTGAGATTGGTTAACGTTTGATAAAATCTCATGAAAAATTTATTTGAATTATTATTTTAATGATAATTATAATAATAATAATAATTATTATTATTAATCATAAAATTGCTAACATTGTAAAATTTATTATGCATTTGTGTGTGTGTGACTTTTTATAAATTGTTTATTTTTATAAGATAGTTCTTTTTGCAATAGAATTTGCCTGACAGCGTCAGGATAATTATTTTTACTGATTAGTTACTAATTATCACTAATTATTAATTTGATAATTAATTTTTAATAATTATAACTAAATAAATAAATGCTACAGGATCTTGGAAATAGGAGTATAAATGTATAGGAACAATTGAGAGTCATTCATTAGATGCAAGTTCATACAAATTTATGATGAAAATTTATCGTGAGAATGTAATCATTGCGGATTTCAAACTCTAAGCCAAGGATGTCCAATTCACAACAATAATTACTAATTAATTAATTAATTTAAAATAATTAACTGACTGATTATGCAACATTTACTTATTGTAAATAAAACCTAATAAAAAACAATTATAAAATAGAATGGATTTTAATTTGTCTATGATGGAACAAAATTTTCAACGACGTCATCATCATCATCAGCAGCAGCTACAACAGCCAACGACCAAATCATCACTTTCGTTACTTGTGGTTGTTGTGGTTGTCATGACCCAACTACTACTACAAAATCGCTTGGCTGAGGCAGCCCATGATAGCGTTGAGAATGTTGTGACGGATTATATAACAGGTGTGTTGTCAGATTTGTCGTTGTTGTTGTTGTCATGTTGTTGTTGTTGTTGTCATGGTTGTTGTTGTTGTTGTCATGTTTTTGTTATTGTTGTTGTCAAGTTTATTGTTGTTGTTGTCATGTTTATTGTTGTTGTTATCACGTTTGTAGTTGTTTGTATTTGTTGTTCTTATTTTGAATGTTGTTGTAAATAACTTGTATGTTGCTGTTCTTGTGTGTTGTTCATCGGTGTTGTTGTCAATGCATTTTTTATATTTCTTTCCGTTCGATCACCCACCCATACATATTTCATTTTTCTGGCTGCAAGTTAGATTTTCCTCCATCAATCCTACCTTCTTTCCATTCAACCATCCCTTCGTTTGTATATTTATTTACTTCCGGTAGTTTATAATTAATTAATAAGTTTATATAATTAAATATCATTTATGAATATAATGACAACTAATTTATTTCAAAGTCATAATTTGAAAGATTTTCAAACATTTATTGAAATTTGATGACGAATGCTTTGAACAAGGATGTTTAACCGATGAAAATAACAAAATAATTGCTATTAATTTTTGTGCGTGTGTGTACGTGTGTGTATGTGTGTGAATGTGCGTTTTATTAGGTTTATACAAATGTGTATGTGTGATATACACAGTTGTATTCGCACATGTGTGAATGTGTGAATACATGTGTGTGAGTGTATGTGTGTGTATATTTATGTGTGAGTTTGTGTGTGCGTATATATGTGTGTGTGTATGTGTGAATGTATGTGTGATATACACAGTTGTATTCGCACATGTATGAAAACATGTATGTGAGTGTGTGTGTTCATGTGTGTTTATGTGTGTGTTTGGGTGTGTGTATGTGTTAGTGTTTGTGTGTGTGTATGTGTGTTTGTATGTGAGTGTGTGTTGTACGTCATAACATGAAAACGTTTAACTTATCAAACAAAATTCTAAACGGCTTACATAGTCTGCCTACGTCTGTTCATTAACACATTTATCATCATCATCATTCATTATCATCATCATCATGAGTTGCCATCATCATCGTCGTCATCGTCATCATCCTTATCATCATCATATC